TTCTGCCTGTTTCCTCATTGCCTACTGTTTGTCACATTATCCAGTCTACTGCAATCAGGAAAATTATTGGCAATAGTAGGCAGCCAGCTTGTCTTACTCCTGTCCTCACTTCGAAGGATTCCGTAAGTTTTCCGTTGTGGATTACTTGGCATGCAGCATTGTCGTACAGCTGTTGGATGATGCTTAAATCATCATTCAGCGGTTGCTAAACTTGAAGAACTAACCAAACACTTCTTTTATAACCACCCTTGTTTTATCATTTAAGCCCATTCTATGAATTTCCACTAGTCAGTCACCCTTTTCACAACTTTATTACTGGAATAAAAGGGAACAAACAGTGTGAAATGTGAATTCCACGAAGAGATTTTATTTTTGGTTGACTACAGGACAAATTGTCTCATGTTTCTGTTTTTGTGCGCTTATAAAACTGTTACAGGTTATCCGACTTCTTCATCTGTGCACTTTGCAATGTAGGTAGCGTTCTGCAATTTAAAACAAAATGGTGAATAAATTGAAAAATGCAGCTTTTTGACAGCAATGTAGTTAAAGTGTGTGTGCATGTGTCGTTGAAACATTCAAGACCGGTCTTGCTCATTCTCTCAATTCTGATTGGTAGGTTTATCAACCTATCACATCACACTGTTAGCTGACTGTTTTACAGAACTGTTGATCAGTCATTTAACTTCTAGGTTGTGTTATTTTGTAGTCAGAGTACAACAACACAAATCGGAAAATGTTACAGCTACTTGTTGATTCACCTAAAAACATCTAATGTTGGGCATAGTTTTGGTTGAGTGAAGGTGAAGATTAGAAGATTTCTAGAAACTGGTGTTACATGTCTATCAGTCATCTGTAAGTATTTTGAAATCTTTACCTTTCCATCCTACTATTTGTTAAAAGTGGCATTCTGATTGACTCACTTGGGAATGACATAATATTGAAATTAACTAAAAGTTGGCCGGTTAATCTCAGCTGTACTTATTCATCAACAAAAAGGATTTCAGTGTGTTTATTGACAAGAATGTAAGATTGACGAGCGAATATCAGAACGTGGTTTATTGGTAGAAGGCTGTCACAGTCATAGTTTTCTTGAGCTGAAATTCTAGATCAGGAGAACACTGAAATCCTACGAGAATCAGTCAGCCTCCAAATAAACTTGGTCAAGCATTTGCCAACCTGAAGCACAACATGTGGTGATAGCAAGCACTCATAGCGCACTGAAATAAGATTATTTTGATTGCACGGAGGATTTCATCATGAGCTGACATCAGTTAGAGAACGACTGCAAAACCTGCAGGGAGTACTGGACAGCTGTTTTGTCCTAGTTTGGGACTCTTCACAGTACACACCCACCGCCATTGTTTGAATCCAGGACATTCTGGTTACAAGGTGACCTCGCAGACCATTGAGCCACTAGGACCGGATCCAATGGTCCTTGAATTCCAACTCCTGCCAGTCCACGACATGGCGCGACCATTTCGCAATGTCTTCTTCCATGAGTTACTGCCTCATCTTCAACCTACTGTACCCTAGTGGTCACGGCTTCCCACTAGAACCCTAGGTCACTGCCTGAATAGGGCCAGTCGCTAGTGAGCATCAGATAAATTTTCAAGTATTGGTTTTGTAGGGATTTTGTTTGATTGGATGGAGGATTTCACCATGAGCTGACACCATTGGAAAACCTGGGAGTACTGGACAGCAGTGGCTCAGTGGTCTACGAGCTCGCCTCGTAACCAGAAGTTCCTGGGTTCGAACCCCAGTGGGTGCGTACTGTGCAGAGTCCCAAACTAGGACGAAACAGCTATCCAGTACTCGCTGCAGGTTTTCCAGTGGTTCTCTGACCGATGTCAGCTCATGATGAAATCCTCCATGCAATCAAACAAAATCCCTACAAAACCAATACTTGTAAGATTCTTTTGTTACGTTTACTTCGAAATTTTGAACTAACGAAGTGTAATCCGGACATCTATAAAAAAATAATTGAGCAACGAATATCCTTTTCGATAATTTCCTCTTCTGGCTCTACAACTATATACACGTAGAATATTCTAGTATAGTCGTCATTAACACTATAGTCGTCTTTTTAAATACTATCGATTTGTTAGGTAGGATTAATGGAATTACAGTTCACGAAAGACGCTTAAGTTATAATTCCACTATGGATAATAATTATAAGCATGAAAATATATTAGCAAATAGAATATCAAATAAAATTAAGGGGATTTCTGAAACAAAGTGAGGATCATTAAAAACTTAATGATAGAGGTAAGGACAGTGCCTGAACCAGTTCCGAAAAAGGCCTTATTCCTAGAACTTCAGTTCCTCGGAGATAATATCAGTCAGATATTAACACAGCGCTTAAGGAATGCGGCAAAAGTGCATCCAGTGTTGCTGTATTATGCTGTGTCTTCAAACCCACCCCTATTTTGTGTCTGGCAGTAAAAGATAAACTGTCTAATTTCGCTTCTTGTATGTGTATCTACCAATCTGACTGCCCTTGTGAAGCCAGTTACATAAACCGTACAATTAGGCGTGTTTATTGTTGGATTTCAGAATATCATCCTGTGTGGTTAAGTAAAGGACAAACAAAATCTATTCGTAGCACTATTCTATCTCATCTTGTGGATACAGAACACAAGATTGATGTCAACGAGGTGGCTTTCAAAGTCACTTACCGCATACCGAAACATTTTTACTTCGCTTTAAGAGTTCGATTACTAAATATTGGTGAGGCTCTAGGGATCCACATTGGGAAGCCTAATTTATGTGTATAAAAGAAGCTAGTTCAGATATTATCCTTACCTTGGCCATCTAAGTTTGAATGATCCTCAATTTTTGTGGAATTTACACAGTTTTATTTGACATTCTATTTGCTGTTATATTTTTTATTGTTATTGCAATTTATGCATCTTTGATGAACTGTAATTCCACTAACCTTACATAAATCAATAGTATTTAAAAAGACACCAATTCTGCTACTGACGACTATTCTAGAATATTCTACGTATTCTACGGATTGATCTCTGATGAAATCTCAGCACAGATACAGAGGGCTAGTTTTTCACGTGCCAGTTTACGATGTCTCTGGCGTAGACGTGATATCCGGCTGGATATTGACCAAAGGGCGTGTGTACTGCTCAGCGGTCCGTTCCGTCCTCCTTTATGGCTCTCAGTGAGGTATGACCATTGAGAGTGGAAGACATAAAAAACCGGCTAGCTGTCTTTGATCATAGGTGACTGCGTTCTACTCCCGTGTGAAATGGTATAATAGAGTGAGCAATATTTAGGTTAGGCGTCGAGTGCTAGGTAAGGAGGGGAAATCAATCGACATGCGTAGCCATCGTCTTCCTCAACGAGAAATGTTAGCTGACGTAGGGCCACGCTGGAAAAGAGCTAGAGGCGGTCAGACCAAAACATGGTACCAGTCAATGAAATCCGAGACAGTTGAAGCAACGTAGGAAGGTGTAGACTTCTTGACTGGTTGGGGTCCTCGGGACGGTAAAAGCCAATGCAGGCTGGAAACAATCGGTGATGTGGCTCAAACTGATCGTTCTCAATGGCTGGCGCATCCACTCCTTGTGACTTATGATTTCCAATGAAACTGTTTTGTTCCTCGTTATTACTATTCCTTTGTCTCACACCTATGTTTACTGTCTCTAGTATGCATTTCTTCTACTTTCTTCTCTTGCTTTGTGTGCTACAAGGAGGGAGTGTGGTGACTTGAACTGCTACACATCCGTGCAAAGTTTTATGTCGAAAGCAGACAGACAGACTGCGTGTATAAAGACATATATTTATATATAAATGTAGAGCCAGAAGAAGATATTATGGAAAAGGATATTCTCTGCTCAAATATTTTGTTTTCCAAAGTATGATCCATTTAATTCAGTTGAAAACTGAAAAACGCATGTCACAAGTAAAAAAAAACACATTAAAAATAAAAGAATTTCAGACTACATGATATTGGAACGGTAGAAATGACTTATTTGTACTTTCAGTGCTTTGTACAATATTTGAACAAAGAAACAAGAAACATTGACGCAGAATAATCTGGATCCATTTTATTTCGTTGGTTCTTATCAGCTGCGTACAACCTGAATTTTTTAATTAAAAATAAATAGTGTACAATTTTTTTTAACAAACCTTTGTCCATTAGCAAGCATTGTGTCAGAGCGTCATAGTAAAATAATGCATTGAGAATTACAGGGTGTCTAAAGTGTCACGACATATATATGTATATATCTTGGTAGAGAGAAGTTTCTTGAAAAAATTAGTAAACAGTTGTTTTGTTAAGGTGGTAACAAAAAACAATTAGCAATAGTTACGTAATTAGATAAGAGAAGATCAAAATTTTAAAATTACGGTGCACATGAGGTCAGATGAGAAATTGATGATGTAATACAGTGAGCAGAATTCAGAAGATCAAGAAAAATTATCTCTTAATAGAGTCAAGCGAAACATAAAGGGGGGGGGTGGAGTGAAAAGATAAATTAACAAAATTAGAAAACAAAGAGTTACTAAGAAGTGAGTTACTAGGGTAATTGAAGTACAACAATGGATTCTTTTTGGACACATAAGTCAGGCTTCAATCGTTTTATTGCTATAGCTTCAGCAAACCTGAGAAGACTTGAGGTACTTTTTCTGTTAATTATTTTGAATGATTCCAGCACATCTACTCGGTGTCCTGTGTCAATCAGATGTTTGGCGATTGAAGAGCTTAAATAATTCGGTCCCTTTAACCGGAGCCTCCTTGGTACATGTTCGCAGAATCTGACGTAGGCCCTCCTTTGTACAGTAACCTGAACTGTGATTATAAGTCAGACTGAAGTATTTTTTTATTATATATGTATATATTTATTCCTGTAGATAATCAAAATGATTCCATGGAATTCAACGCTTCAAATATTCGACTAATGCCTTCTTCTAAGTCAATACAGTCTATGCAAGTGATGCAGGCTATGTCAATATAAAGTGGACAAATTTATCAAAAATTCTGCACAATGAAAAAGTTCACTCTACCCTACCTAACTGACAGTGATTCAAATAAAAGCGTCAACAGTCTAGCCAATAATTCCGCCAATTCAACTATGCAGATTGAACTACCGAAAATTACAGAGTTGCACATTATTATTACAGATTTAAACAAACAGGTAAGCTGCTGTTATTTTAATGACATTTTAATAATTTTTTCTCTCTCCTTTTGCAGACCACATTGAAAGTAATCGGCGACGCAATTATATTAGATATTAAAAAGAAACTTTTGCATACATTCGGTTGCTTTTTAAACGATGCACAGAACTGGGGCCTGTATCAACCAGATGAACCGAGTAGAAAGGGTAAATTCCTTGAAGAAGAACGTCTTCTATCAGAATACATCAGTGGAAAGATATTGGTTACCTTAGAGGTAATTTACATCATAAAAGCAATCCTCCCTAACTGATTGTGTTTCTGCATTTCTAGTTTATTTATAAGCGTCGCACCGTGCCACCATTCAACATCTCACCAGCATTGATGAGTAAAATATCCAAGGTAATTTAATTTTTTGACATGTATTCATTTGTTTCTATGGAAAAATAGAATTTTGTCAAGACATTTTTCCGATATGTATCTCGAGGAGAATGTCAAAAAGTGGAGAAACTGTTGTCCAAAGGCTTTGATCCCAATCTACACTGTCCGAAAACAGGAGGTATGCAATAGTAATAGCAAAAATATCAATGATAATTGCTCTTTTGCTGTGTCTAATTTTAGAAACACCGCTGACAATAGCAGTAACCCGGTCGAAACCATATGAAATGATATCAACGTTGATCTCGGGGGGTGCACATCGGGATTTCTATTCTTTGGCTGGTTATACACCATTGCATAAAGCTGTGACAGTTGGCAATTTCGAAGGTGTTAAGGTTAGCTAATAGTGGTTTTCGTGCAGAGTTTAAAATTATTACTATTTGCTATTATTCTGTTTCTCCCATTCCTTTGTGTAACAAGTGGAACATAGGGCTTTAAACTTGAGGTTTCAAGTTTCAGTGGGAGTGGTGGGATGGCATTGCTAGTCCCATGCCAAACCCTCCATATTCTTCAGGCTTGCTACCAACTAAACAAGGTTTAAGAGTGCATCGATAGGGAATCGGACTATCTATGAATAGCATTCGGTGTATCATTTTGCATAACTAAATAACACCATCTGAAAAATCATTATTAGTGACAAACCAACAGAAGTTGTGAAGTGATTCCGCATGATGATAACTGTAAGATAAAATTACGGTTATTTAATACAAAATTATTACACCAATGAAGTGTGAATCTGCTCTGAGGCTTTCAATGACGAGAAAGCAAATTTTCGGTGGAGAATTCATTTGCTTAGCTGTACAATTGCAAATATATATATATATATATATATATATATATATATATATATGGGTTATTTTGATAAAGTCCCACAATGGAATTAAATTCTACCACATTGCACAAGTTCTATTCTTATATCAGCAGTATATGGGTTATTTTGTATGTATGTGTACATTAATTTTGTCAAACAAATACAGTCGGTTATGGTTATTTTAACTAAAGGGGGCGAGAATTATTAACTTTTGGGTGGAGTTGTGTAATACAAAAACAGTCAAGAAAATTGGGTGTTAATGAAACCAGTGTAGTAACAAAGGTAGGTGGTGATTTGTCACAAATAGTTTTTAAAAAGGATTTACGCAATAATATGAATAGTTTGATGATTGAGTTGTACTCAGGATACAAATAGGAAGGATTACATCATCTCTGAGAAGAACATTCCTTGCGGCAACGCTAAGAATAGTTTTCTCCAGTCGCCCACTGATCTGTAGAAGCCTTCTATGTGTGTATATCATTTCACCTGCTGCTGTAGAGCCAGGTACATCTGTCGTTCGACTCACATCCTGTTCAAGAAGATTCAAGAACACTATCCAGCATGGTTACGAAAAGTCAACAGTGGTATTATAAGGAGTACGATAACTGAACACCTGGTTAACACTGATCACTCTATATCAACAAACGCCTCCTTCAAAGTAATCTACAGAGTCAAGAACAACCTATCAAAGGCAATACGGTTTCATCTTCTTCGTATGTTTCAAGCTCTGGCCATTCACAAAGGAATATCGGAGCTGTGCATACAAACGAGAATTATTCAACCATCACTACCATCATGGTAACAATTTTGCTGATTTTTTACCACTTGATTTTGTTTGTTTGCTTGCTTGTTTCTTTAATTGCTTGTAATTCTTGTATTCATTTAAAACTCCTACGTATTTCCGCATTCTCCACCTTATTCCTATTTGTATCCTGAGTACAACTCAATCATCAAACTATTCATATTATTGCGTAAATCCTTTTTAAAAACTATTTGTGACAACTCATCACATACCTTTGTTACTACACTGGTTTCAATAACACCGAATTTTGTTGACCGTTTTTGTATTACACAACTCCACCCAAAAGTTAATAATTCTCGCCCCCTTTAGTTAAAATAACCATAACCGACTGTATTTGTTTGACGAACTTAATATACACATACATACAAAATAACCCATATATATATATATATATATATATATATATATATATATATAATTGTACAGCTAAGACAATGAATTCGCCGCCGAAAAGAGACTCTTCTCTGAAGCACGCGCTTTGTTTTTATTAATGAATTAAAACAAATGTTCTATAGACCGGTAATTAATTTCTTGTGTAGACATAACTCTAGAGGATTCAACAAGTTATCTTGTCAATGTAGCACAGAGATATTTATCAATAATATCCGTGAGCAGTTGTTTTTAATTACAAGATAACTGTAGTTGGGAGAATGATGTTGGTGTAATGCGTCGTTCATCAGGCGTATCAAACCACCTGTAACAGATAAAATATTCGCTCTAATAAACTTAAAAAGTTTGAGTAAAGACAAAAAAAGACGACTCAATGTGTCCCAACCTTTGATGTCTGTATGATAACTTATCTTGAATCTTTTCTTCCCCATTTCTAGACATTATTAGATTTTGGACAATCACCAAACTGTTTAGACAGATCTGGTTTAACTCCTTTGTATTACAATATACTATATGATCCGGATACAAGAATATGTCACAGTCTGTTGTATGAACACTCGAGAATCGGTGTTGTCGACAAGGACGGTCTACAGGAAATCCATCAAGTAAGTACAGCGAAAACTATACGCCTTGATTGTATTTCGTATTGTGTTTTTGCTTATGTGTGTGTGACTGTGTAATTATTTTTATTCAAAACCTCTTCTTAAGGTGGTATTTTCTAATATACATTTAAAAGAGGGAGTACTGCCACACAAATCGTTCTCAATTGAGGGATGTCTCAAAGATTTTTATTCTCAGAATTGTAAATGTCAAGCTATAGGATACCTTTGATTTGTCACCATAGTGATGACATCCTCACTGCACAACATTAGGATTTGTATTTTGGCCAAAATATGCATGCATGAAACACAGAATTCCACAAGTATGAAAGATCAAGAAAAATAATTCAGGATACTATTAAATAACTTGTCGGTGATGTTCAATAGAAGTCCATTCATCATCCTAGTTCGGCTGACAATAATATCAGTCTGAGACAAGAATTTCGTGGAATCCATGGGCACACTTCACCTAAAATAAAGGCAAATATTACATTTTGATTGCTTACTTTCAACCAACTTTGACCCGGTTACAAGTGTTCAATAAAGTACACTTAGAAGCAAGACATTTTTTGTTTATTTTTTTCATGTCTGGGGATGTCATTCTACGGGAGAAAAATCTCCTTTCTGACAAGTGGTCTTACCATACTGACGTTGAGATTTATTCTGGAGCCTGAAAAACCCTCAGCGAAAGCATATTTTAGTTTCACTCAGTTCAGATACAGTATCTCTTTAAATAAATGTGACTGACAGTGATCGGTTACAAAAATAACATCTCTCTTCTGGATAAGTGGCGGTGACCATAGTTTTACGTTTTCCTGCTTCACCAGTCAGTCACATTGTATGGACTAATTATGAATTGCGTGGGTAAAAGAGATGAAATCTCTGCTTTTTTGTCCTATAACCCTACTGAAATGCAAACTAGCATAATTTTCTAATATCCAGCCATGAAGCATCACTGCAGCTTTCAGTAGTCGATTGAGATGAATATCCCATGTTCTGTTGGGAGATACTGACTGATCTGTGGGGTCAGAAAAGTTACATTTGAGAGAAGACGTCCACCCATGGTATTGGAAATTTATCATTTTATTCCATCAGTTGACTGTATTTGGCCAAGACATGGTTAGATTTGTGATTACAAGCTACTATGTAAAAGAAAACACCTATTTTTTTTTTATCTCAGTTTCCAATCGTTCAACAGCTGTTGATTGAGTAGTTTGATGTTGTCCCGTCCAAATGACAGTCTAGTGATACATTCAGTATCACATGATTGGGTGATCGATCTTTTGCCTAAGCTCGCTGAACACTTTAACATTATTTTTCTATAGTTTGGTTTGTAAGGGTTAGTTATGTTTCTACGAGTTGATCACGGACTGATATCAGTTAGAGAACCATTGAAAACCAGTACTGGAGTACTGGACAGCTGCTGTCTCATCCTAGCTTTGAAAATCATCGGCAGTACGCACCCACTAAAGGGTTTCAAACCCAGGACCTTCCGATTACAAGGCAAGCTAGCTCGTATACCATCCAGCCACTGGGACCCGATTCAATGGCCAGTGCTTGAATTCTAACTTCTATCGATTCGGGATTTAGCGCGATCCCAACCAATGTCGTTGGTGGGACATCCATCCTCACACGTGACATCTGGTTGAACTTCACTGGTCACGAATTCTCACTAGAACTCCAGGAAACTCCATCCTGTAGCAAGTCACTAGCGAGAATCGGACATTGGTTGGGGTCACGCTAAATCACGAATTGGTAGAAGTTAGAATTCAAGCACTGGCCATTGAATCGGGTCCCAGTGGCTGAATGGTATACGAGCTAGCTTGCCTTGTAATCGGAAGGTCCTGGGTTTGAAACCCTTTAGTGGGTGCGTACTGCCGATGATTTTCAAAGCTAGGATGAGACAGCAGCTGTCCAGTACTCCAGTACTGGTTTTCAATGGTTCTCTAACTGATATCAATCAATCCGTGATCAACTCGTAAAAACTTTAACATTGTAATGCTCAGAAAAAATCACACAGTTATTATTAATACCATACCAGAATTAAGTTATCTATCTATGGAATTTCGCTGTATCACAGTTTTGAATTTCTGGATACAGAACATAGCCCATAATCTGTCATAGCTAATGCTGTCAGTTTCATGTAAATCGTCATAACCAGTCAGTCACTGTTATCAGAAAGAGTATTTTCTTAAAGCAATGCCACTGTTTAACGCATTCATGTCGGTCGGTTTCACAATGATTCCGTCAACTAAGCTTTAATTAATTCGCAATTGTGTATAGGTTCCGTGACTTTAGTTAGAGGCATCGTTATTAATACCATGGGTAGTAATATTGTCCTTATTATTATTATTACTAATCGGATTACAGTAAATGAGTGTAAATCGTATTTTCAGTGCATGTATGCGTGCGTGCGTGTGCATGTGCACGTGCGCGTGTCCGTGTGAATGAATAACTGTCACATCTGGTTTATGACTTTGTTAACATCGAACACATTTAGAAAAGGTTAAGGTATATTTACACTTCACTAAATTTTTACTCTTTCTAATAAGAAGAGTGTTCTTTTTTAAAAAAAAAAGATTAAAGATACAATGTGTTAGTTATATATATCTCATAGAGAGATTCATGCTTAAAACAAGGCGGTAATTTCAACAAAAAAAAGAAATAAGTAGTTGTAATTCTGCTGTATTTCTCTCCCCTTATAACATATCTAACTTTAAAGCAGCACTCACTCCAGATGATTTCACGTTGATACGCAAAGCTTGCTAACAGTAGGTTACAGGATTTCATCATGAGCTGACATCAGTTAGAGAACCATTGGAAAACCTGGGAGTACTGGACAGCCGTTTCGTCCTAGTTTGGAACTCTTCAGTATCGGGGTTCGAACCCGGAACTTTCTGGTTAGAAGGCGAGCTAGCTCGTATACCATTAAGCCACTGGGACCCGATCCAATGGCCCATGAATTCTAACTTCTGCCAATTCACGATATAGCGCAACCGCTAGCCAATGTCTTCGGCGAGTATTTGTCCTCACACCCGACCTGCTGCACCATACTGCTCACGACTTCCCACTTGAACCCCAGGTAACTACGTACCTGAATAGGGTTAGTCGCCAGTGAGCATCTCATTAATATTCAAGTATTGGTTTGTAGGGATTTGGTTGATTGGTTACAGGATTTCATCATGAGCTGACATTGGTTAGAGAACCATTGGAAAATCTGGGGGAACCTGGACAGGACGAAACAACTATCCAGTACTCCCAGGTTTTCCAATGTTTCTCTAACCAATGTCAGCTCATGATGAAATCCTGTAACCAATCAACCAAATCCTTTTAATCCAATACTTGAATATTACTAACAGTTGGCTGGTATGTATGCGAATGACTTTTGGAATTGATACAATTTAAAGGTATCGTCATCTGGTTAGATGTTTCGACGAAAATTGATTCAAGAGTTGAATCGTAAGGATTCAATTTTGTTGTTGTTGTTTTATTGAGTTTGACCACGGATTGATGCACACTAGTGACTGGTTACAGGGCGGAGTTGCCTGGAGTGAGTTCTAGTGAGAAGTCGTGCGTGACCAGTGAAGTCCATCCAGTCAGGGGGGGAGTGAGGATGCAGTTCCCACCGATGACATTGGTTGGTGGTCGCATTAAAGCCACGAATTGGTAGATGTTAGAATTCATGGGTTGCTGGCCGTTGAATCGGGTCCCAGTGACTGAATGGTCTACGAGTTTGCCTTGTAACAGGAAGGTTCTCGGTTGGAATTGTGTCCAGTACTCCCTGGTTGTTTTCAGTGCTTCTCTAACTGATATCAATCCGTGGTCAAAACTTTTATATCCCATAAAGTTTTCCTTGATATTAACATCACTGCAATTCATAGGACTCATCATTAATCAATACCAGTTAGAGAATACCTGAAAACCAGGGAGTACGGAATAACTGCTTCGTTCTAGTTTAGGACTCTTCGGCAATAAAAATCCACGACCACACCGGGGATGAATCCATGGAGCTTCAAGTTACGAGGTAAAGCTCGCTGACCATTCAGACACTTGGTCTGGAACCCAATCACCTGTGATTTTCATACATTTGTTCCCCTTAATGAATTTAAACAAAGCAACAACTAAAGATTTAGCAGAATAAAATGGTACCATATTTTATTTCGTCGCCTTCTCTTCAGCTGCTTACAGGGCAAAAACATTATTAAATGTATCTACAATAACAATTTTACATACTTACACAGAGTTCATTTTAAACCGAAATCAATCGATCAATATACACATACACTAATAATATATACATACATATATATGCAATCTTGAACACAATTCCGAGCAATAATAATCAAACACAATGAAAACTTTTCAGTATCTCGCATTAGGATGAAAAATATCCAGTTACCAGGGCAAAGAAAGACTGATAACTGCTTCTTTCTGAACGCACAAATCAGGTTTTAGGCGCTTGATGGAAAAGGCTTCAGCAAACTTAAGGAGCATTGAACTCTTTTGCTTATTGATAATTTTGAATGACTTTTCCACGTCCACCTCATGACCCGTGTCAAGAAGATGCCTGGCGATGGCACTGCCTTAAGCATTTGTTCCCTTTAGACGTAACCTTTTTGGTACATGTTCAGAAAATCGTAGATATGCTCTTCTTTCTGTTCTGTGATTTTGTCAGTTCTTGCGTAATATCACCCTACCACCAGGCACTGCTATCAACGAGCTATGACTTCTCGGTAGAGCTTCAGCATATCCATCCAGTCGTCGCCAAAGTAGCGGTCAGATTTTAACCAGTCGTATTCAGCTCAATAGAATATCAGTTTACCAAATGAGCTGTGGTGTTTCCTTCTTTATAAAAAAGAGATTTAAGCCTGATTCTACCTACATTCCTGCAGTTGTCAGTAGGCATTTTTGTGTAAAAATAAGCTACACACCCACATTGTTTAATTCAGTTGGTATGTTGCATGTTCGAATATGAAAAATACCAGCGAGTGATAGTCATATTTGTTGTTAGGAGAGGCAGAGTATTTACAAGGCAGTTAGTTAGTTGGTCTATGGATCATATTAATTTACCATTATTGGACAGATTTTTCTCTTACCTACAGAACATGTACACGCTTCTTTAT